TGCTGGCAAACCCAGCAGGGAAGTAAGGGACTGAATGTTTCCTGGAGCATGAGGTCCCCCTCTGGGCAGGGCTGAGGCTCACTGGGCTATCGCTGTGCATCGTCTACTTGGTCTGGGGAGGACAGCCTCCACGGCTCTCGCCAGTACTTGTGCTCAGTGTCAGGAGGCATATTTAACCTGTTTGTGGGGACTGCGATTGGGTTAGGGAAGGGAAGTGAGTGGGTGTGCAGAGTTGCAGGGGAGCGGGTGCATTTATTGTAATGGGTGCACAGTTTCTTAATGTGGTTTAAGGTGTGTGATGGAAAGTTTTATGCTAGATAATGTGTGTGTGTGTGTGTGTGTATAAGTGTATATATATATATATTTTTTTTTTAAAGTGCAGCTTTGCACACATGTACCCCCCACACACCCCTCCCAGTCCTCTGCCTCTTTAAATACTCTTGATCTTAACATACCGAGATCTTGCTTTTTCTGTGTCGCAGGAGCCATCCCAATAACAGGCGTGGGATCCACAATAAAGGGGTAAGTGGCTTAGTTTTTATAAGCTGCTGCCTTGGTGCTACAGCCCGAGGGTTGTTCTGTTTAGACAGAAGTTTGAAGGAGTGGATGCAGCAGAAAGCTGCCTGGGCCAATGCAGTATTGTCTGGCTATTGGCTATAGCAGCTGATGGGAAGCCACTACCTCTCCATTCCTTTCTTTCTTCCATATACTGGTAGTAGCATTGTTCCCCCTTAGCTGTCCCCGTGTATCCGCTCTCTGTCCCTGCTCCTTGTAACCAGCCAAGCTTGCACAGTCCTACCTTCTCTGCGCTGGCATCCCTCTGCTCAAGCATCACCTCCACACACCACGTTGATCCCCGCCTTTTGAGGCACATTCTGGGCTGATCAATACACCAGGGGCTGGCAGAAGTGAATGCTTTCCAGTATACCACCACTTCTTGCATGTGGACACCTGCCCATGTCCTAGCTGAGCTTACAACATGGCCACGGTGAAGGGAGCAGTGGATGGGAGATTGGGGAACTGTGGGGAAAGAGGAGGACTGGGGATCAGGTAGAAATTCTGGTACAAGGGTGGGTCACACCAGTAGGATTACACTGAACCCCATCTGGGGGGAGAATGGGATCCAGTGATATGGGGTAGGAGCAGTGGTGGGACAAACCCAATCCATTCTGACAATACAGAGTGGCAAGGGCAGGAGAGCTCTTGGGATGGGGAAGCTGCTATACAGAGATGTCAGCTACAGCAGTGGGACTCATTTGAATGCTCCCATGAAGGCTGGAATCGCCCCAGTAAATCCAGGCCTGTGTCCCCATCTCATTCCCCTTGTTGTAACTTTCTCTGTTCTCCTCCCCAGTTTAGTAAATTCCACGCCACTTCCCAGGACGGAGCCAGTGACTCTGCCCTCCTCGATCCTCCACAACAGGTAACAGCTACAGCCTGACCCTTGCTATTTGAGTCACCCAGAGGGTTTTGTTGAAAAGTACTTTTTAGGGCAGATGTTATGGCATTTGACTAGTCGCGGCCGAGGCGTGTGGGCAGATGGTCCAGGGTCTCTGTCACTTGTGCTGTGGAATTTTCCTAATTAGGCTGGGGATTCTCAACTGGGGAGTTGTGGCACCCTGGGGTACCATGAGATCCTTTTAAGGGTGCTGTAAATATTAATTTACACTATTAGGTGTGTGAACAGCTGCGTATAATTCACACAACAAACCCAGAGACTCCCAGTAGGGCTCCAGAATGTCAAAACCACCCTGCCCTGTTGTCAGCTTTCCGAGTTCCTTGCAGCAGCAGAATTGCTCTAGTATTTTTTTCTGCAGTCAAGAAATTAGTTAAAGTGATGAGCTGGCATCTTCTGAGAGCTGCCTTGGGTCTAAAAAGAGCCAACTGTGTTGGATTAAATTGTCTGCTGTGAATATCGATTTCAGCCGGACAGCCGCAGGGTGCAGTCCACAGGAGCTGCAGAGAAGGATGAGACCCCTGTTCCCTCCCTGATGGTACGCAGGCCAGCCAGGAGATATCCACACAGGGAGGAAGAGTCAGTCTTCCACGCCAAACCTGCCCGTGCAGGGCAAAATAAGAAGAGCCACAGGAACACCCCACACTGGCTTGATCAAGGTAAAGGAGTCCCACGTGTGCTTCAAAGTGATAGGGAATGGCTCTAGTTTGATGCTAGGGAGCAATAGGTCCAACCCGGAAGTGCTCAAGGGAGACAATGACATATTGTTGATGCTATTTTCATTCAACTTCCTTCATCCCCAGCAACAAATACTCCATGAGTGAGACTCTTCTGGAGACCTGAATCAAGATAGAGTTCTGCAGGCTTATCTGGAGTGACGCTACTGTATTACATGCAAACATTTAAAAGCATAACACGTGGGAAGCAAATTAAACTTTCTTAAATTATTATTTATTTAATGTGCCTGAGCTCTTGGCAGTAGCCCTAGGAAGGAGCTGTGTCAGAGGCTGAGCTGCTGTGGGACGATTAACCACTACTGCCCAAACGTATTCGGTGCAGTTTAATAGCTGACTGCAAGAGAAAAAGTGGGAAAGAAACACTAGGGCTTGAGATAAGCCATGTCTTGGCAAACACTGGAGAGTTGTTGAGAAATGGTGTCAGTGTGGGAAAAGGCCTGAGCCCAAGGGATCAAAAGGACTAGAGTAGTTTCAAAAGGCACTTGCTATTGGAGGGTGGGTATAGCAATGTCGTGGCCCCAAGGGTGGCTGCAATGCTCCCTGGTGGCCTTGTGACTCTTACCCCACTCGGGCTTCTCAGGGCACCCTCCCTTAACCTTTCCTGCCACGCCTGGATGTCTTCTGTGAAGTACAGGGAGGCTGCCCCAAGGTCCTAGAGTGATCCCCAAGCTCTCAATCAGCCAGTCTGTTTGCTCCCTAGGGTACTCCACTGTGGCCCTCTTGGCCCTGTTAGTGCCTTGGAGGCTGCATTCATAGCCTTCGTTCTCCTGTAGTCATGCCCATGCCTTGGTAACTGGTCACTTTGGAGGGGCCCCCTGGCCCTGCCACAACACTTGGCCCCCTCAGGCCACTAACCTTTGGGGCTTCAGCCTTTCTGGCTTCAGCTTCTTCTCTCTGGTTGTACCCCCCTCAGCCTAGGTCCCCTGCCCCCATCCTCAGCTTCTGGGCCCTGTCCTGCCCTTCTCAGGCTCTTCAGCCCCCTGGGGTCCCAGACTCGAGCAAGGTTGCTTGCTCAGCACACAGCATCCTGGGATCCTGACCCATGCCAGCCTGTTTTCACATTGCTCAGCCCCTTTATGGTCCCTGGCCCCTACAGGGTGCTATGCGGAGTACTTACGGGTGCTCCTGTGGCCTCCATGCCACAGTCCAGTCCTCCGGTATCAACTTAAACACAACACAAATTTGGACAATGCTGCTCCTCTCACTTGAGCAGCATTCAACCAGAGCAAGGGTCTGTGAAACCCACTCTAAATGTTTCCTTTTGCTTCCTCACAGAAGAGGGAGGTGTTTATAAAGTGAAAGACCCAAGAAAGGAGTTGCGAGGGGCTCGGGAAGTGGCAGAGGACGAGCACACAATGGTGGAGCTGCCTGTGGACCAAGTAAGAGGTGTAACTCTGGGGAAAAGCTAGGTCCCTTCTCTTCCAAGCGATGAAGTGTCCCAGGCTCTGTGGCTGCTGTGCAGTCCCTGGACTTTGTTTCTTGCACCAGAGGAATTGCTGTCCCAGGAGATTTGCCTTCCAGGGGAACAGGCCCTTCCAAATGATCAGCAGAAAGAAGCTTTTCCTCTCCGCAATACCAGCCAGAGCTGGAATCTGAGAACTGAGTAGAGGAATCAACAGTATAGTGATGGCTTAGGTACCTTGCCTGAAGCTGAGCTCTAGCCTTGACTGTATGGGCATTCTTGCAGTTTCCCTTGAGACATGTTCATGCAGCTGCCCAGGGGAGTTTGTGAAGCCAGAGAACAGCTCCATTTATTTCACCAGTTGATTTGCATTTGTAGTTCTGAGACATTTGTGAGATCAGAGGACAGTCTTTCTGCTACGCTGTGAGAGGTCAGAAATTCTCCAAAGGAAAGGAGATAAGGTTTCCCTGATGCTACCTTCATTTTCTTCCTTCTCCAGAGTGCTGCAGAGACTGTGGAAGAGGAAGTTCTACCCCAAAATAGGCCAACTCCTCAGACAAAGGTACTCAGAACAGGGGCGTGTGTGTGTGTTCAGTATTAGGGGAGGAGGTGTGTGTTTAATGTCAGTGTTTTGTGTTCATTTCCATCCCCTGGTAGCAGTTTGCTGTGGGGAGACTCTTACCTGCTCTCTGCCCTCTTGTGACAGAGCTCTGTAATAGCACCTACTGCAGGCAGCTATCCTACTCCGTCTTCTCCAGCTTCTGCTGTAAAATCAGATTAAAGTGATTTGCAGAAGTGGCTGGATCTTGGCATTCAGCACAGGTGGCTGAGCTTCTGGCCTGCACTTACGCACACTGCACTATCCAGCTGCCCTAATCTCTGAAGTGATGCAGTCTGTGCAACAAGCATTTAATGCGAGGCTGCCACCATTTAATGCGAGGTGACTGCCTGGGCCAAGTCTCTGCAGGATGCAGCTCAGTTAAGGAAGTACAAACCGTTCCCATTGTGCAGGCAGGGCAGCAAATTTGTGCTGATGTTCCCAGGGCTGATGGCAGCCTCCAGGCTTTGCCCACCTGACTACATATGCGGAACTGATTGCACAGATCGGTTACAAATACAAATTATTTAACTAAGGGTCTGGAAGCTTTGTCTTTAAAATCCCAGTTAAAATGCAGGAACTTATGGCTAAGAAATGAATCTGAAAGCTTGTTTCTTAAGCATTTTCCATAAGAATTTAATCACATTGTGCTACACTGTAATTCTAGCCAGGTAGGGAGCTGGTGGTTCCTTTGGCATCTCTGGGAGTTTTACCTTTGATCTTCAGTGGGACTGGGTCTAAGTAAGAACTGCCTATTGAGCACTCTTGGGTGAATGTGAAGCCTTCTACTCTGTATTTATCCTGGAGACTGGAGCAGCAGCTCCTTGCAAAGAGAACAACTCAGCTGCCCCCATCATTCTAAATGGCCTTTCATCTGCTGACTCCAAGTGCTGTAGAATTATTTATCCTCTTAGTCCTCCTGTGTGCTAGGTAAGAATCAAGACCCATTTCAGAACGATTTGACTAAGGTACAGAGAAGTACAAGATCATGCAGTACACCCACAGGAGAGCTGGAACAGAACAGTAACCAGTATAAACCAGTATATTAGTTACATTACAAATCGCCTGTGTGTTCTGTTTTTAAATGCAAAAAGGCTGGGACCACTCGCAGATCACAGAAGGCCTTGACAACACGAAACAACTCCAGCGACTCAGAGGCGGAAGCAAACTGAAAGACGCATTCCCTCTGCAAGTGAGAGCTGAAGAGCGCGTGAAGTGGCTGTGATGCAAGCGGGAGAAGTTGGCATTCTCTTTGTGCTAGTGGTAGATAACAAACCACTTGGATTCCAGACTCCTGTAACACCACACACCACTGCCCAATCTGGGGACAGGTTCAAGTACCATGTCTGAAACTAAGTGCCTTGACTATGAGGGTTTTGGAACGTGAACAATGAGTCAGGTCCTTGTTCTTTGAACACAAACACTTGCCTCCCTTCTCTTTAAAATGTTTGCTTTGAGGGAGGAGGTGGAAATGTTGGGCCTACAGTTATAAGCTTCAGTAGTCAAGGAATTGGTCTGTCTGAACTGGAATTTTTATTTTATTTTTACTGTAAATAATAGTTCTAAGTCTTCTCTACTGAAATGTCTGCCAGGAAGTGTTCTCCATATTATAGATCCTGTGTTTAAAATGATTTTGTGGCTCTTTTTTGCTCAGGCCTGGTTAATTTCTACCGCTGCATGTGACTGTCGTTAGATGAGCATTATAACAAATCTAGTCCCAGAAGGCTCATTCTTCTTGTTCTTAAAAAGCGTCAACCTAAATCAAGGAAACCTCTTTATATAAAAATAAATAGCTAGTTTATTAACCCCAGAGTCACCTGAGCAATATATTTCCTTTCCTGATAACACATAAAGGCAGAAAAGCTTTTCCTAGTCTGATGTATCCACTCCTTGGGCTGGAATGGATTGTATTCAGTCCTTAATGCAACTAGTCACAACTAGGAGTTTTGGACACCTGAGGAAGGTGGGACTGAGTGTCTGATGATAAGCACCTTTAGGAAGAGAACTGAAATTATGATGGCTGTAAGAACTGCTGTACCTGAGGTACGTCCACTTTGTTACTGTGTTGTGATCTGACAGCCCCTGAGGTAGAATGCCACTGAGAAAATAGCCTGTTACTGCCTTTATGCAACGCTGTCTCATGGAGAACAGTTCCACTTGGATGCTGCTGGTACCATTTTCTGAGCTGATGGCGAAAGTCACTCAATATAATGTGATTCATTATCTTTTCACACTATGCTCCCATCAGAGGCCTCCCAACCATCCCTGCAGCTCAGAAATCAGTCAGGGTTCTAATGAAACAGAGGATATTTTTAATAGATAGTCTCACTTCTGACCAGCTCAGGGGACTTGGCAATCGAAATTGTGTTGAACGCTGAACAAGACCATCTCACAACTGTTCCTGTCCAAGAGAGCTTCTAGTGCAAGGGAGATGCAAAGAGACGTTCTGAGACAACCCAGGAGGAGTTAAAGCAGGAACCACTGAGTTTATTTCAGTCTTGATGACCCCCAAAATACTCTAAGGTTGCAATTTAACTGGGGGGGAGGCGCGCGTGGCTGAGCTGCAGCTACCTCTGCTAAGTGAACCGGATGGAACATTTTCTCTGTTCCTAAGTCAGTGAGTCATCTAATTAAGAGTTGAAATATTTTGATTTTTTTTTTTTTTTTTAAAAACACACTATCTTGTAAGGAGACAACTTGTTAACAGTGAAACCCAGGTGTTGACTCTACACAATAACCTCTTTGTGATTGCCACCCGCTTTGCCTGGGTTTTGAAATGCCAGTGCCTCAATTAGTGCAACGGAGTAAATGCAGATTATTTCACAAGCTTCCCACAATGCCAGAGTTCTGGACACCAGGATGGAGGGCTGAAGAAAACCAAGGCACGGCTGTTTACAGAGGTCTCAAAAACCAAGTATTCTAGGCTTGGTGTCACGGAACAATGAAGACAAAGATAATCCAGCTAGAAAAGCTCACTTCTCAACAGTCAGCCTCCAAAAGGGCCCAAACCTGGACTGTGCCGCTCAGTGCTGGTTCAGGGAGGGTAGGGTACCAGTTCCCAAATACAAGCATCATCTTCTGCATATTCTTTTCTTCTCCCAATATCTCACTGCTTCTCATTCACAGAACCAGCTATACAGAGGGCGACCCCTAAGACAGTGAGCAGCATTCCTACCATGGCCCCTAGGGAAAAGACATGCAAAAGAAAAATTAACTCCTCTGAACTCAGAAAGCTTGGGGATGTTGACTGGGATGTGCCAATACTCCTGTTGGGACCAAAGCTGGAGGCTCCTGGCCTAAATGGTCTTGCCTTTCTGCTCAGGGTCAGACCAGTCACCGAACTGGGGTCAGAAAGGAATTTTTCCCCGTGGCCAGATAGGTGCAGACTGGGGCGGGGGGTGCATGGGTCTTGGCTGGGGGGCATGGTCCTCTACCCAGCATCTCTTCAGCATAAATTAACAACATTTCATAGAAGCAGGATGTTGGCTGCCATAGCACACCTGCTTTACCTGTGCCAGGTTATGGTGTTAGGTCTGTGTTGTTGCAAGGTTGACAGTAACCTTATGTAGAGTTTAGATTATGGTTTGCACGGGATGATTTGGATAGGGATGATCATGCCTCAGGCAGGGGTTTGACTAGATGAGCCCTGGAGGTCCTTTCCAGCCCTACTTTTCTATGATTTTATGATAAGCTTCAAGACAAGTCCATCAGGTCATGTCCTCACAGAGTCCAAGATGTTCTGGAGATCACAGTGTAAAATCTGGATGGGATCAGACTAAACTAATACCAGATAGGACTTCAGCATTGTTGAAAGCAGTTTCTAAGAGAGGCTCCCTCCACTGCTGTGCAGGGATTTTGTCTGTGAGCTGCCTTGCAGAACTGTGCTATGGAGAGCAAATATGCTGTGCTGAACTGCATCATACTTCTTAGGACAGACAAGAACCCTTTTTCCCAGTCAGGGAGACTGCATTACTGCTGTGCTAGCAACAGCTCTGTTTAAATACAAATGCATCTGTTGGCATGGGCTTATTGGTAGCTATTAGCAGTTTCCAAGCAGTAGCTAATGTTCCCAAGCTTGTAGTGTCTTTATGAAGGGAACTGGTCTGCACTGATGTTGCTCTATGGACTCAGATGGGAATAAAGACTCTTCATTGGTGTTTTAGGTGTGCAGGAAACATCCCTTTCTTGTACCAGTGCAATTGTTAGTTCTGTTATACAACCCTTATATCTTATCCCATGAAAGCCCAAACCCGAGGTAATAGGAGCCCTCAACTCCCTGTGACTTGAACTTGGCAGGACGGGACTCCTTCAGTGAAACTCACCTTCCCTCCCAACAATGTGAAGAGTCCAGTTCATCGTAAAGGATAATCATGTTTGCAACTGAGTAGCTTCCTCCCCTGAGAGACCCCCAGAACCATGTTATCTACTGTGGGGTAACACACTGTACTTCTTAGTGTAGCGATAGCAAGTGACCCATAGCAGAGTTGTCCTGCTTCTGGTTTCAAGTCTCAGTCTGACAACAGTTGCTGAAAATAGCACGGAGCAGTGCTATGCTATCCATGATAGACTAGGATTAGCCAAACCATCGCCCCACAGCTAAGGGAGAGGAGCTCACTAAATCCATCCCCAACCCAGCACACAGTGAATGATTTAACTACCCCTAATCTCTGCTCCTTGGATTATGATTTACCTAGAAGACTGTGCTGAACCAAGCCACTACAAAGATTCAGGGCATGGAGTCAAATGTGTGCAGAGTGCATCTATAAAAGGACTGAGGCGTGACTTACTTTTACCACCGACGTCTTCCCCAAGGACCTTTCCGGTTATTAGGGTGACGATCAGAGCCAGAGAGTTACAGAGAGGAACTGCCAGAGAGAGGTCTGAAATGGAACGGGTAATATTAATGCATTAACCTGGAGCGTAATAATTACTGGTGTATGTGCCAGGTACGTCTTTAACAAGGGCGTACACACAGCTTAAACACTAACAATGCTGTAAAACTCACGCTCAGCATTATAACTGACGTCCCTGCTGCTGTTGCAATACGCCCAGCCGATCTCTCTCGCCTGGCGCACCAGCCTGTGCTTTTTGCAAACTCTCTTCCCATCGTCTCAACCCTCCCGCTCCGCCCTGGAAAGGGGAGAGCAACCACTGACCTGCCGATGCCAATGTGACATAGTAGAGTACAGATCCACACTGGTTAAATGCAAGTGGCACCATATACTGCAAGGAGAGCACAACGTATCAAGTCACTGCAGAAGAAATGCGGGTAAACACAGGACGGGATCACGTAAGGAAGGACGCCGGGGATCCACGAAAGGGGCGAGAGCCAGCTTTATCTGAAAGGGAGCAGCAGGTCCAGCGTTTCGGTCGCAGGGCCGTGCCACTGAATCCCTGTCAACGCGATACGTTCCCCTCTGTTTTCCTAGTCAGTAATGGGGGATCCCGATCATTTCTCAGGAGAGGGGGGAGTTCACGAAGAGCTGCCACGCGCTTGGAAGTCCTCGGAGGAAACGCAGCGCCCCGCGCGAGCTAAACGAGATGTCACAAAACGTCGACATCAAACGAGCGACGCCGTGGGTCCCAGACCGCAGCGACGTGGCCAGGAAAACGCGCGGTAAAACCTCAGCGCAGGTCACAGCCATTCAACCCGGGGCCGGGGCCAGCGCCCTACCTTGTAGTTGAGGAGCAGGAATCTCATTTCTGCAAGCAGCTGCAGCAGCCGGGTCTCCCGCTTCACCTTCTCCAGCCCCTCCGTGCCCGTCCTCAGGAAGGGGTTGGTCCCTCCCCACAGAACAGCCACGAGGACGAGCACGGGCACGTCCCCTGCAACGTGACCAGCGACCGCGGCGGGTCAGGGGGGGTCCGTACCCCGCCATACGGATGCTCCCCTCCAGTGCTTTATTACTGCCCCTCGGCCCCCGCCGCGGAGGGGCAGGTCGGTCACGTCCTCAACATCGGTCTCTAAGGTGCCCCTGCCCTCCTCCACGCGCCCGGGGTCGCATGTGCCCGAGGGGACCGGAAGCGGGAAGCTCACCTAGCGGGGCCATGGCAACGCCACCTCCACTTCCGGCCTCCGCGCTCTCTGACCCGGAAGCGGTTGCCGCTCCTC